ACTATAATATTGCTTTTGAATTGTTTTACAATATTAGTTAGATATCGACTAAGTAGGCAAGCTAGCATTAAACTTTCTTGAAATAATGAAAGAGATGTTGTTTCTTTCACGATGTATACTATATTATATACAATATCAAATAAAAAAATGATGTTTACCTATGGAGGAAACCCCCCCAAAAAAAACTTATGGATAAAAACTCTTTCCCACTCCCCTTCTGCGCTTGGAAATTTCCTTTTTAGGAAATTTTTAAGTTGTTTATTCTTTTTTCTCTTTGCTCTCTCCTTTCCCCTCTCTCATATCTTTTTATTTCCCCTTTCCTATTTCTTACCCCTTTTTTCTTCAGACTCTCTTATAAAAAATTACCCCATCCTCTTTCCTTTTCCCCTTCTTTGCCGAAGTTAGGTTTTTTCCTTTTTCCTGAAGGTTTTCTTTCTAGACCTCTCTTTCTTTTATAAACTCGTTTTCCATAACATCAACCCCCTGGCCAGTCGGCTCCCTATTCTCAAGACCATATGCAGAAGTGATAACTTCTCTTAAGATGTGTGCTTCAGAATTTTTCTCTTTTCCATGGCCTCACAGAAAAAGGACAGATGGTTTACTCCCTCCAAAAGATCGACATGGTCATCATTACCAAATCTGGTATTGTTTACTTGTTAATGGCTAAACTAGATACATCTAAGAAACCGGTGTACAATTATTATTATTCAAAAGTATTCAAGGAGTTGCACCCTACTGTATCCAGAGGGATATGACAGCCAATGCCAATGCAATTAACAATAAGCCTGATTAGTTTGCAGATGTCATGCTGGTGATTGAAGAAACCTAGTAGGATAATATGTGAAGACCAGAGATTCTAGTTACCCCTGCAACATGAGCTGGTGACGACAATGAAAGTTCCTCGCCCACCCCTCCAACAATGTAGGCTCATTGTACAAGGTTAGGTAACAACATCTATAAGAAACTTCAACTCTATAACATCTATCTATATCCGACGACATTACCAACAACCACTACTACATGTCCAAACACTCTTCTTCCATCTCCTCCTGCCTTATATTTGTGCTGGATTCTTCTCAATTACTTAAATGATGTGGCTATGTGTGAAGCTTCTGGTGAAAAGCAACTGTCCCCTTTCCTACTTGCCGCAGGTGCCACAGGCCTAAGTGACCTGTAATCTGTCGCAATCCTAGAAGGGTAGAGAAGATCAAATACTAGATGGTCAGATGAAAGGCTAATCTCTACTGGATGTCCTAACCGGAGTAGCGATCACTTAACTAATTGAACAAGTTATTCAGGTGAAATGTAAGGTGGAACACATTTGGCTTGCTGTACATCAAGCCACATTTGGAAAGCAAGCTTGCCAATCCTAGTCATGACTTGGAGGCCAACCTGTATATAGTGGCTGCAGCGACTTCATGTAATTAGGTTTCAAATTTTTTTAGGTAGCTAAATGCCATTCAAGGGATAATATAGGTTTTGAATTTCTTTTTCTTATATTCTTGAGTGATGCTAAGGAGCTTAGGCGGAAGGGCCCTTATTGAGCCTGGCATTTAACTTTTCCTGGCAAAGAGAGATATATATTACACTATTGAGTTATAAATCTTGTAATTCGCAAGTCTAAAATTATAAATAAAAATAATATGTGAGGACTGCCTGTTCCTTCAAAAAAAAAAAAAAAACTTATAGATATTATAATTTATTGATAGTGTAATAGTGTAACAGCAAGTCAGTCACTAACTCTAGCAGAGATTCACATAATCGTTACAGAATAAATGAATAAAAAGATAATTTGAGGCATGTTTGTATTTAACCAAGTCTTTATTTATTTACTCACTTCTATGCTGCATCTCTCCCTTTACATTTTACATTCTTTTATACTTTACATTTGGTTATAGTAGCTTAGATATAATAATAATTAATGATACAGTGACATGGCTAAAGCTAAATTACATAATTCTTTTTACAATCCTTCCCATCCTGTCTTCCGGTCAGTCCATTGCCTTTTCTTGATGATGCTCCCTCCCTACGTCTTACACTAACCTATCGTCTTTCAGTTTGCTTGCCAACTCCTTCGCTTCATCATTTCTCTTGTTCAGCATCCCGGTACTTTCGGTCATTTGGACTCCGTCATAAGTGGATTTTATAACATTGTTCTTTTGATTGTCTTTGGCTGCTTGGGCTTTATTTTCATTAAGGCATTCTTCCAGGATCTCACTTGAGTGACTGATCATCGTTTCTTCAAGGTCTTCATTTATCTTCTCTTGTTCAGTGGTCATCTTGTTGTTGATATATTCTTCTATTGTCTTCTATTATCTTCTATACATCATTACTGGATGGCATTATCAGTTCTTGTTGCACTTTCGTTAGGTTAGGTCATTCTTCTCAAACTGTTATATAGGTGTCTGTAAATAAAAGAAAAGTAGAAATTAGAAATTCAAGTAGTAAAGGAGATTTTAATAATGAATGATTTGTTTTTTGTGATATAGGGGTCAGAAAAGTGTCAAAAAAGTATTTGCGAGAAAATATTGAAGGGTAATTAGACATTATCCTTATACGAATCTCACAGTTATCATAAAAAATGTAACAGTATAACAGTAAGTTAGTCACTAACTCTAATAGAGATTCACGTAACCATTACTGGATAAATAAATGAAAGAGTAATTTTAGGCGTGTTTGTATTTGACTGAGTCTTTATTAATTTCTCACTTGTTCCTTGTTTTTCTCTTTATATTTTGTTAATAAGAAATTCAATTAAGTCGATCAAGTAAGGGAGCTCTTAGTGAATAATAAAGATATAAACAAAAAAAATAATCAATAATTCAAGTACAAGATTGCTAAGGTGTGAAAAAGCTGATCATAAAAAGAATCACACATGTGATCATGAGAACATATCAGAGAGAAAAATTAAGAAAATCAAAATTTCCTATGTATTATATAATACAGATAAGATTTTGTTATCTATTATACTGCCACCAATCAGTAATACAAATAGGAAGATTAGAATTGATTTTATGCACAGTGTGCATAAGATAGGTGTAAAGAGATTTTGTTGGCAAAAAAGAAAATTATGATAATGTGATGTATCATATTATATAATTAGTATTGTTATGAGAGAACAGTGGGGAAATTAGTATGGAAGAATTTAAAGGTGGAAATTTCTGAAATAATATAGAATAGTGATCAGATAGAAATATGTAAACAATGAATGCATGTATAAATACATATGCAATTTAGTAACATATAAGAGGAAATTTGAGTTAGTTAAGAATATATTAGCATTTAATAATAAAGTAAAGTTGTAAATAACTCTTACCTTGTTTTCAAGTACACTTGAAATACTTGTAACCGACTAAACGAAAGTATTGAAGTTTGCCTAAGAAAATTGGCATGGAAAGAGTTCTAGATTAGGAGAGTGATTAAATTAAGACTGATCAAATCGAAGATATGTCTCAAGAATAAAAAGAAAAATTTACCTATATGCTAATAATTATTAATAAATTTTAAACTATAATAAAGCTTAAATTCAAATTTAATAATTTATTTAATTATAAAAATTAAAAATTTAACTAGATATTTTATTTAATTACTAAATTTAATTGTTTTTTAATAATATAAATAATAATAATAACTAAATTATTGTTTAATTAAGCTAAAATAAATTATA